CAGGTTGAAAATGGAGCAGGTTGGAGGGAGCCCTTGGGGCGGACACTGGCCGGAACTGTAAGGAGCAGGAGGGGCGGGGCTCCAAGTGCGCCTTCTGGCTGCTCGGGGCAGGAAAGGGGGGTCGCGGTGGGCAGCGCGCCGTCCCGACGTGCCAACTTCGGAACTGAGTGTCCGCATCGCATCTGTTTTACCTTGTCTTTGCCGTGAGAAACCAAAGACGATTTATTTAGACTTAAGTATTTTCGACTCTACTATTTCTCCGGTCTTTGACTTATCTTATGTGATGATTCAAATCTCACAGCAAAAGATTTAGGAAAGGAAGCTGAAGACTAGATACTCTTTGCCCTTGCTACAATGAATTAATTTGTCTAACAGGACTTACTGCTTTTACTTTTTCTTTGCTTTTTTCCCCCCCTTCCCTAAGAAACGTTCACCTGAAAAGCAAGGAAAAATTGCCCGCTTTTATTCCTCCTTGATGGAACAAACTGCTTTTAAAAACCGAACAAGGTATTTGCCAAAGGAAGTCACAGTTTAACTGAAAGCAGCCTGAGGAAAAATAACTTTCTGTCAAATAAAAATGTTGCCAAATGGACAAAGATCAATCTTAGGATCTCAATTTGGCAAGCACGTTACTGTTTTTTCTCTCCTTCCCTCTCTTCCTCTCTCCCTCCCTCCCTCCCTCCCCCAAATCAATAAAAACATATCCTCCAGTGAGAATTAAAAGTAATTTAAGCAAAATGAAAGTTTTTTTTTTAACTACCCAGATTAAACCTTTCCACCAACTTAGGTATCTCTACCAAATTTGATTTCAAACTGAACAAAATATTAAATGCCTCACTTCTCAGCACAGAATTTAGGTTAAAAGCAGCAATTTTCATTTTATGAAATAGAAGCTAATATTAGTATTAAGTGGATTATAGCAGACATTTACATTGTTTTCTAAATGACTTGTGTCCTTCCCCATCTTCCACCCTCCACCCAGAGAGGGTACCACCTCCTTGGAAAAGACCTTCCACAGCCCCCATTCCAACTGTAGCACTTGAGAGTTTCCCATAATCCTCTGTGCATGGCTGTTGTTATTTCATTTACTGCATCGCTTTATAATCATCTGCTTGTGTCTGTTTCCGCACCCTCCCTCTCGCCTAAGGCTGTAAGTTTTTGGAGAGGTGGCATTGTCTTCATGTTTTTTTATTCCCAATACTTTGCACAGAACCTGGCACCCAAGAGCCTGGTAAATGCCTGGTGATGAATTGGGCGAATTAAGGTACCCAGAGCACCTTCCAAGTCTGAGAAGATAGTGTAACCTCAGTTATTTTTTTGTTTTTATTTTTTTTTAAGGGTTGACCTCAGTTATTTTATAGCATGCTTGAGGCTTTTCCCAGTGGGAGGATAGTGGGCCCCGTGGAATACATACAGGAACCACCCATGTAGTAATTTGTCTGAAGACAAGAACCCTGGGTGCCCTAGGCTTTCAGACTATTTCTCATTAGCAAATGAGAGCACCCAGCTTTACTCTGAAGCAGTGTATATTCAGTCTGCCGACAGTCATTTCATTTTCTGTGTGGCTAATCCTTTAAGGGGGAAAAAAAATCACAGATCTGAATTTTCTAGTCTTCTTAGCAATTCTGTTTCTCAATAGTAAATTAAAAAGTTGGCATTGTAGTTATCAGTCAGGTCCCTTATGGTTTTATTTTCCCAGGACCTGTTTATTTCTGGTGGAAGTGATAAAATTGGCTTCTTGGTCTTGCAAAGTTGAGGACTGACCCAAGATCTGTGCCACATGAAAAGACAGGCGGACAGGAAAGGAGAGAGGGAAAGGAACATTTATGTGAATCAAGCCCTCGACCTGGGCATGTGCCCTGATCGGCAACAGAGCCTGCAACCTTTCAGTGCAGGGACAATATCCAACCAACTGAGCCACACCAGCCAGGGCCTAGGGGTCTTAAATACTAAATGAATGTTCTTTGTTAATAAACTAGGAAATAAGAAAAAAATGAAAGCACTTATTATCCTACCACTAGCTAACTAGAGATAGCTAGCTATAGATTGCATATTATATCCTTCTAGGTCTCGTCTTTGCAAGCTTTGGGCTGTCTTAAGTTAGTCTGAATTTGCTTTGTTGAAGATTTTTTTGTATATTTTGGGTAACGGTCCTTTTTCAGATATGTGTGTCTTTTACAAGTATTTTCTCCCAATCTGTGGCTTTTTTCCTCATCCTCTCTACATTATCGTTCAGGGAGCACACGTTTTTAATTTTAATGAAGTTCAGTTTATCAGTTCTTTCACCAGCATCATGCTGTCTTGATTCCTATAGCTTTGTAGTAAGTCTTGACGTTGGGTAATGTCAGTCCCCCAACTTTGTTCTTTAGTATTGAGTTGGCTATTCTGTGTTGTCTGCCTTTACGTATAAACTTAAGAATGAGTTCGTCAATACCTGTAAAATAAGTCGCTGGGATTTTTATTGGATTTGCATTGAATCTGTAGATCAAGTTGGGAAGAACTGACATTTTGACAATATTGACTCTTTCTATCCATGAACGAGGAATATCTTTCCATTTAGTTCTTTTCTTTTTTTTTTTAATGAGAATATTTATTTGGAAAATCACAGAGGTAGAAGAAATAATTTGTAGAAGAAATGAGCTTAGGAAACAAGTTATAGGGGCAAAGAAAGGGCCCTTCCTCATAGAAGTGAGGAAGGTAAAGGTGACACGCCTGAGACACGTGCCTGCTCCCTGGAGGACGAGCACCTGGTTCTTTTTTTACTTATTTCATCAGAGTTTTAGTTTCCTCATATACATCTTGTACATATTTTGTTAGCTTTATAGCTAAGTATTTCATTTTGGTGATTGCTAATGTAAATGGTAATGTTTGTAACCTGCTTATTACTGGTATTGGGACAAAATTGAATATTGGGGACTAGCTATAGTTATAAGAAATATTAATCATGCTTTGTTAACCGTGATTGCCTTGTTCTGATTAAAGAAAGCCCATTCTAACC